AGGTTCCCGATGCTGGCGAGGTTCGCCGCCGACGGTGCACGAAGCTGTGCTGTGGCCTGACATGCATGGACCTAGATGGTGTAAGATGGTGCGTCAGGGCCCCTTCATTCAGTTGAGCGCGGAGTAATGTAGCATCAGTGACGAGTGCTGTCCTCGCGCAACTGTGAGGTGACGGTGTGTGGCGACGTGCATGGCCAGCCATTGGCTTAAAGCAGCAAGCCTTTAATGTCTCACGACGGTTGGTTCCTACCTGTAAAGGGGTGCATGAAGACCCTGGCCTAATTTCCGACAGCAGCGAGTTGGCTTGATGCTGTGTGTCGCAATCGCTGCGAGCGACCGAGGTTCTATGACTTGCTGAACATCTTTTCGATGAACGGCGTGCCATCCCAGGCGACTGAGAACATGTTCACCCTGCGAAAGCTTCCCAACCTGGGTCAAAGCTTTCAGGACAATCCATACCTGTTCAACGGTGACTTCGTGGATCGAGGGTCGTTCTCTGTGGAGGCATGGTCTAATGTTCCGCCACGGGTGCTTCACGGGAAGAAAACTGAGCCTGGCGATGCAGGTCATCTTGACTTTGTTTGCATGGAAACTTGCCTTGGGCTTGGGCGAAGTCTTTCTCAGCTTTAGAGCATGCTGCCACTAGCCTGGCATGTCTGGCTGTGCAGCAAAATGGTGCTGTCTAGGCCGACCTTAGCACAGCAGTTTCATGCAGGCACACCTTTTCCTGATTCAATCGCACAAGTTCCCGATGTCCAAGGCTTTCCCCAAGCATCTTCATCTGGCTAGAGGTAACCACGAAACAAGGCGGCTGCATTGAATAGTCTGTACGAGATGTGATGAGGATATGTCGCGCTTGCACATGTGCAGAGGATTGCCAGGGCTTTGTAATTTGGCACCCGAGCCTTGTCAGGAACATGAACAAATTGTATGGATTCGAGGGGGAGGTCACGAAAAAGTGCGCTGCAAACGAGCCGGCCAATGCGGACAGCGAATGCAGTGCTCGGCTGATTCAAGCAGATGCTGATGCTTCTGTGAGGTACGACGAGGAGCTATACCAGCTCTTTTGTGAAGCGTTCTGCCTTCTGCCACTATGCCATGTTATCAACAATCAGGCCAGCCCATAGCTTTTGTGGTTTCTTTGATAATTTTGATTGTGGTTTCCCTCCTCACAGAGCTGGAGGTACATCATCATCTGATTCGATTCTAGGTGTGCATCGTCTTGAAGATTCTCTATACTGTAAAGTGAGTAAAGCTTCTTAGAAGCGCCGTTCCTCAGAAGCCACTCGGGCACAGATCCCAGCCACGTAGGTCTTTGTCGTTCATGGAGGACTCTTCTCCAAGGCGGGGGACAAGATTGCACACACTTTGCTCCGATGTTCAAGCATTTTCCCAGCTCTCAGTGTTCCAGACAAGGATGACGTGACGCTGGACGCAATCAGAAAGGCAGGAGAACATCGCTGTATTCGCAGAATCTTGGGGGACCTCCAACTTGCGGCATGAAGAGTGGCAAAGCTTTTAGCAGCGGAGCGGCTGCCAGTCTCAAGCGCAGCCTGCGGTGCTGCTTTGCAGGTGAACAGAGATCAAGAACCTCCTGATGAGGGTCTCATGACAGAGATGCACTCCCTGCCAGTTGGGGCGACCAGTAGGAAGGGCAGATCTTGCACCACAGCTCTGCAGTCAGTGCTTGAGACTGGTCTCTGCCAGGTTGTGGAGCGATCCGCAACCGGGACGAGGTCGGGAAGAGGTTTTAGGGCTTGAGTGGGGTTCGGGCAAGGGACGCAGGTGAAGGGAGAATTCCGCTGTCCATGTTGCTTTTCTCCGGACTTCAAGCGGGTTGAACGCTTGCTGCAGTCTGTGAGAGTTGTGCGGCGAAGAGGGGGCGACCAAGCATTCTGGCACGGCTATACGGATGCGCATGAAGCAATGAATGAGCTGCCGTCGTAACTTTGAGACATGAAACATGCAGGCAGAGCCAGGACTGTAGACTCGACTCGAGGACGCTGGCCTGTAGAGGTCCAGAGATCCATGGCTGTGCTTGAATGTTTGGCTACTACGACGCATGGTTTACTTGAACATAGGCTGTGACATAGGGTTACACTTTTGGCTGCGGTGCAGCTGCGCGTCCTTACAGCACAGATTCATGCAGCGACTGCCAACCAAGCTCGTCTCAACATGTCCCAATCTCGAAAGCGGTTGAGGCCGTCAGCCGTCAAAGCGAGGTGTTGGTGTCGCTTTCGGTCAGGAGCGGGGCGGGCTATAAACTGGTAGCAGAAGAAATGCAGGAACTATAGCTACAGCTGTTTGCAGTTCAGTTCACGTTTCAGGCTGCGCTTGTCCTGAGGATGTCACTGAGAACTTCCTGAAAACGAACAACCTGAAAATGGTCATACGTGTCTCGGTTTGCAATGATCTTGGTGTGGAGGGCACAAGACACTTCGATGAAGTCGACCCGATGCCTTCTCCGAAGGTAGCCACGAGATGAAGGAGGAAGGCATGGCTCCCAGCCGAAAGTCTCTCTCGGTGCTGGGCTCTTTAGAACTTTAGAGAGGTTTAAGCTCTGATGAGCCTCTGGCTAGAGACAGGACTTTCTTTAGATTTGCCTCGGGCGCGCACAGAAGACAGTCTTGATCGGAAACCAGACCTGAGATCTTTCGTGTGCGACTTCGAGAACTCACAAAGAACACAAAATGAGTATCCCTCCGCAGTCTCCTAGGATCCTGGCCAATGCAAGCTGGACAGGGTCTGCATGCTGCAGGGAAGCGGCTTCTGTGGGCCAAGGCTATGAGATCGAGCATTCCGGCCGACTTGTCACAGTCTTTTCCGCCCCGAACTATTGTGACCAGATGGGCAACAAGGCCGCCGATTCTGACGGAGTGCTTCTCTAGGGAGCGGAGCTGATGCTGTGTTCTTATGCTTTTTGTCCAGCACGCATGTGAATGCTTCTTCACCTCGTAGCAAGTGAAGTTCGTGGACAGGGTGCTTTCATCAGACTGGACGGAAAAACGATGACGTCTGCGGCTTGGAGCTGCATGAACCGTTGTTGACAAGCCGGGTGAGGGGCATGGCTTGCAGAGGAGGTGCATATAGGGGAGCTGTGGACTCGTGAGTTCAACCTTGTCGCGACAGTTCTTTCCCTGGAATTGACATTCTGCTGGTGGAAGCTTCCGGCAGATCCGGGACGACCCGACCCAGGGTGATCTGCAACGCCTTTCGCTTTCGCATGTTCTCTTCCGATCACCTGCGTCGAGGCCAAAATATACATCCTTTGCACATGTGCCTCATCCGAATGTTCGTCCCATGCAGTGCGCCGACTGAGAGAGATGTTTTGAGAGTGCCATGAACGATGGCCTTGTGGCCACTTCTTATTGTTTTAGTGCGGAAGGTATGCCAATCCCATGCTCGGGCAGCTCTTCGGCATGTGAGCAAGGCTTCTGCGAACGCAGTTGCCCTTCCAGCCAGCCTCGGAAAAAACAGCCAAGAGCTTTCCGTAAGCCGTGTAAGCCCGAGACTTTCTTTGCATCTTCGCTGCTACGTTGGACTTCAACGTTGACTTCTGAACCTATCTGCATCTGCTTCAACTCATTGCAGCGAAACGGCGCGTCTTAGTCAACGTGAGCAAAAATGAAAGAGTTGGAGGAGTTAGCTTAGGGTGCTTAGGGTTTAGGTGCTTAGTTTCCCGGGTTCAAAGTTTTTCGAGCTGGTTTCTAGGGCTTAATGCTAGTGGTTAAGGCTTTTTTGGAGCTCATGGCTTTTTTGGGTTCAGGATCTTCAGCGTTCAGGCTCTCATGGTTTAAGGCTTAAAGGGCTGTCAGGTTTCAGGTGTTTAGGGTTTTAGGGTTTAGGGCTTTAGATTTTAGGGTTTCAGGTTTAGGGGGGTTGTGGTGAACAAGCTTTGGTTTTTGGGTAGGGGCAGTGGTGCACCTTAAGCGTGTGGGAACCGTAGACCCTCGATGTTTTCTTCAGCAGACGCGCTTTCGACGACCAGGAAGTGTCATTGGAGAAGCCGGCTGGAATGGCAGCAATGCTCAAACATTTCTTTGATCTGCGCCTGAACTTTTACAGGCTTCGCTCAAGAAGTAGTGGTAAAGGATGCAGGTGTGCCAAGTTCTACTGCCATGTCGCGAAGCCGTGAGATGGTGCAGACTTGACAAGTTGGGCTACAGAGCTGTCGTGGCTCAGTTTTGACCCAGCTACCTAGCCCTGTGCAAACGGGCGCTAATGAAATCGAGGGCTCCTCGGGCCGAAAGCATCTCGTACTGGAGCCCACGCAAAGCACGAACACCCAGTCAGACGTTTGACACGGAGCCCTCGCCCAGCAAGGTGGGCATGAAGCTTTTGTAGGCCGTTTGGCTGGGTCTGCCTGAAGATCGGACTTCGCTGGAAGTTTCCATCTGAAAGATTTATGAGGCCACACCTCTGCCGGTCTGCAGGAGTTTCCAGAGAGCACCAAAGACCAGCTGCACCTCGGGTGCATTGTGCAAAGTGTGTAGCGCTGCCGGGTTTGCAGTGGGTTTGTCCAGTCGACTTTGGATCTAGCTGGTGATAGCTGCATCTCCGCCGCTTCAACAAGCCCACGCTAGAGGTTTAGATTGAATCTCCAAAGCACCGCGTCGAAAGAGTGTGTTGCAGCTCCGATTGCATTCCAGGGATCGTATGGCCGAGAGTGTTTTTCTCTTTGTGAGGGCGGGGGAGGTTGGGCGTGACACCGGAAAGATTCCAAATTCAAAGTGATGGCCGTTCCGAGCTGTGCTCAGCTGCCGTGTAGGCAACAAGATACCAGACGCTTGCAAAAGTACGGTAGCTGGTCTTGGAGACAGCCGAATGCAAGAAAGCCACCCACACTGCCAGGAGCATATGTTCACAGGATATGCAAAATTCTACATGAAGAGACGACTGCCTTGAACGAACCGCAGCAGGGTGCGGGCTGCTGCGACCCCAGAATCGACAGATATTTGCACCGGCGATGGCTTTCCTTTCACGACCTTCGCAACGTCAGGATGCTGCTCGCGCTTCGGCTATGCAGATTCCTTGGCATTGTTGTGATTGGCCTTGTGCAGGCCCTCTCCTGAGAACAGATAGCTTTCTAACGACCCTGCTAGAATGTCAGAGCCGTCGAGGCACAAGATCCGGGAGGCATCGTCGCATCCTTCGTGTCTGCTTGCGAGTGTAAGGTCAACCTTTGCTGTAGGCAGATCCAGATGCTAGCTGTTTCGAGTGGCCTGCAAGCGGTTGTTGGAAACTGGTGCGCGGATTCCTGGCTCCTAGACCGGTGTCCTTCCAGGAGGCAAGTGTCCGGAACCGCTGCGCTTCGAACGTTGGATAGCAGCCTTTGCAGAGTCCTGTCAGCAGGGTGCTCGGAATTCGTGGCAACCTGATGCCAAAGTGCTGTTGGTCACGTGCTTGTAAAGCTTGCTTGCAGCTGCTTGCATCGAGGCCACTGGTCCACGCCTTGGCTGTGACAGGTTTTGGCTATGCACAGCTGCATCACACTGCATCACACTGCATTTGCAGACTTTGCACTGAGCAGACGGGTTTTCGTGAAATGCGGATGTTGTTGGTCTGAAGCGTTGAAAATCTCGAAGTTCACCCTAAGGCTGATGACCTGAGCTGCAGCTGGGTGACCTGTGATTGCCTCCAGGCTTCTTGCTCTTGTTTTCTGGTCTGTGTTGTATCGACATGGCCGGATGTCAACCGGTTCGAAGTTGCTTGTAGGCATCAGGACCCTCAGCAGAAAGCCTTGGACGTGGTCCTTTGTTCGTTCAGGTCTCTTTGCAGGTTCCGGTCGAGCTGTCCTTGGTGCCAACGTGCTTTCAGGAGATGTTTTGATACAGCGAGGGATGCCTGCATCGTGCAGCTGGAAAGCACTGGCTGTCAGGAAGGTGTGGAGACGCAGCTTCTGACGCAGGCCCTTTGTCTCTGGATTTGGGAAGCAAGATGCGGTTTCAGGGTCCGAGCTTGACATCACTTCATGCACAGGGTTTTGCAGGAAGATGCCAGAAGGCTGATGCTAAGGCAGCATGCTTGCTGTTTGGACAGGACCAGCGTCGAATAGCTTCCGAACTTGTTCGAGGAAGTGCTTGCGGCAGTGTGTGTTCGACCCAGATGGCCACGTCTCACTCGTTTTGCTCGACTCTCTCAAGAGGGTGGAGTGACACCTGCACTCAGAACGAGAGAGCTGGGCAAGCCCTGTGGCCAATGCGATGGCTTCCGTTTGGAGAGGCCGGCAGTGATGCACGATAGAGGGATGCAAAAGGGTTGCGGCAAGCGGGTCTAGCCGGTCTGGCCCAGGCCGCAGTGCTATGACACCACCGCTCCGCCATACAGGCACAGCTTAGAGTCTTAGACATCTCTTCTCTGGCTTTGAGCTTAGCTAGAGGGACGCGCCGAAGGACTTTCATCTCCGGTGCCCACCCTGTCCGACACTCGAGAGCCGATGCAAGTCATCCAAGAGCCCCAGAGCGGCCCACTGCAGGTGGGCGTGTTCACGGGGCTGGTGCTGGCGACTTTGAAGTTCTTCGACGAGTTCTTGTGCTAAGTGAAGTGACATGTTAATGCATGGATATGTGAATGCAGATCATGCCGCACATACCGCCTTTTTTTCTATCGTCTCACCGCTTGCATGCTTCGCCGTGCATTGTCTGAGAAGAGTGCAGGCAGCAGCCTCAGATGAGTGTGTTTGCTGCTGCAGTCGAAGTTGCGCAGTGGACCAGCAGCAGTTTCACATCTGCAGTGTCATTCGAGATACGAAAACAGAGGAATTCAACCTGTTGAGTGTGCGCAGAGCCGGCACATCAGCGCGCAACGGGCTCGTCCTTGTTTCAAAGCTCGGTTCAAGCAGCAGCCCCACCGTGACACTGAATCAGCTTTTTAACCTGCGCTGACTCCGAGAAGTACCTTTTGACACATGCGACTCTGTGAATGAACACCCCTGAGTAGCGGTCGCCGGCCGCGGCATTGGTTGTGGTGTTGACCCCAAGATATCAGGAGCGCTTTGGGTCCTAAGATGCCGGCACTGGCTGCCCAAGAAGGCTGTTGATGATGCGTCGTTTGCTCTTCACGGCCTTATGCTTCTCTGCGCCAACGGCTGCCTCCGCGCAGGTCAGCTCTGCACGGTTGTGTTCTTTGGACTGTACCTGCGTAGTGTCGCATGCTTGTCCGGCATGCAGCTGCAAGGTGCGACATGTGTGCACGTTGTGTGTTCTATGTATCCAGGTTGCCAACTGTGACTACACTCTCTACTGGTCAGAATTGGATACCTTGTCAAGTTGTACGTCACAGAAAGTATCGGTGCAATCGTTGTTGTTGTCGTGTGGAGGGTGTGGTCGTCGATTCTCTAGAAGCGTACACCACATTCATCAACAGTTTGGTGGTTCCACCAATGGGACGGTGCTAAAGTTTTCGAATTTGGATCCGAAAAGCTAGATCTTCGACATGTCCACGTCCACTTCGTGGCATGCGATCCAAAAGTTGACTACGAACAGCAGCGTCGTTCCCGCGCTCTTCTCTTGGACTGAACACTGCGATCCAAAGTGGCCCCCGGTTTGACGTGTCGCGCGGGAGCCATTAACAACAGGCTGCCGGTCTTTCCTTTGTCATGGCCCTCTCTTTCTGACCCTGCCTCTCCTTTCGACCTTCTGATCACCGCAGCTGGGTCAGCTTTTTGCGGCTCGCTCTGTGCGGTGAGGCCACACGTAGTGCGAAACCTGGTACCGTCATCGTGGAAACGGACACCTCCTGTGGCAAGAAAACATTGACAAAGCAGTGTCCAAGCGGGAAGATCGGCAGTGCCACGGTGCTGCAGAACGTCACATCGTGCGAACAGGTGCATGTGTCGTTTTCGTTTACGAATCCGAACGATGCTCTGAACCCTCGTCATTGGAGTCTGCAGTCGCTACAGTGGAGGAGTTTTGCATAGTTTTGCCTCTGAGTTGAGTTGTCTTTACTCCTGTTGTGAGCGAAGGATCACAACTAATCATAGAATCTGGATCGTGGAGGTTTTTCGGAAGTTACACCAGTCTCGATCTAAGTTGGGTGAAGCAAACGATTGTCGAAGCGGTTGACTCGTTGCCAAACAAGAAGAGTTAGAAAACAGCTATGCCTCTTCAGCCTCTTCGGCAGACAGCTGCTTGATGGCCAGAGCCTGGCCTGTTCAGGCAGAGGAGGCAAAGCAGCCAACGGCACAACAGGCGGAAGAGTTTCAGCAGGCAGCGGCCCGATGATGCTGTGGGCGTAGCTAGCGGCGTGGCGTTTTGATAAGAGTGGCATCAAGGCCCCGTCGCTGTTGCAGGACTTCCTGGACTTCGACCTCAACAAGGCGCCCAAAACTTTTCTACGGCTGTTGCCATTGGCGCCCAATTGGCCATTGGGCAGCTTCTGATCCATCGCAGGATAAGCAAATCGATGCACAAGAAGTGCGCACGCAGCGGCGCCGCCGTGATTGATAAGAACGATCATCATGATTGATGTCATTTCTTCGGACTTTGCTGCATATCCGTCTGTGTCCGACTCTGGCAACTGCGTTTGGCAGGTTCAAGGGAGAGCTAGATCCGAAAGAACTTCACCAGCCCGCAGCCAAGCCATCCTTGGTAGGCGTGGTTAGCAGTTTGCATCGATACAACCTTGGCATCTGCGAACTTCACGCCCTGTTACTGTTTTGCACATGTGAAACATCTTGAAACGACCTGCGCTGCTCTGGTGGTCTAAGGTTCTTCATCGACGTCGACCAGGACCCGACATTGAACCTTGGTGCTGTTGGTGCTAGCTCACACCGTAGGCTTTGATGACGTTTTTTTTGAGTGATTTCGGTGACAGCTAGGAGGATGAGCGAGACTCATCTAGTTGAAACTTGGCAGGACCTTTCTGGAACAATTTCACTGCAGGACGGGAAATCGGCTGCGCTACATTGTGATTCTGTTCCGCGTGCTTGTCACTAGCATCTCGTGCGCATGTCGGAAAAGGAGTTCTGAGCTCAGAAGCCGTTTGGTTTGGTAATTTGTGGGGAAGGCAGCCCTGCTCTTGAAGATACCAAGCCTGCTAGCCGCTTGCAGGAGTACATCTCCTATGCAAGCTCGCTGCACTCAGACCAGCCGGCCTAAGCGATGGGGCGGGGTGTGCAAGAGGGGCTTAAAAAAGCAACTCCCCGGTCAGGAGTGCAGTTGATGAAATCAGTGCGTTCTGTTGGTGCCTCCTGCAGTCCAAGGGTCCAGTAGCTGTTGTCTCTTTGCTTTCGTTCGTTGGCCGGTCTCCCTTCTTTCTGAAACTCGGCATATCTCCCCGCAGCACATATGGTCCTCGGTCGAGGAGTGTAGTGGCTTCAAGAGGCTTGGGGCTCCTCGGGGTTATGGCTCCGAAGGTGCAAGCTCCGTCATTTCTGTTGGGCCTTGGGCGCAGCTTGCATCCTTAGCAGGGGCTCTGCGCAGGTTTGGTCAATGCACCGGGCGTTTACAAATCGGAACGCTGTGGGGTCTATGTATTTCTGTTGTTCGGGATCCCCGTCCAGATGGGTTTGTGCCAACGGACTGATCTGTGATCTTTACAGATCCTGTGAAAGTATCTGCAGGCCAGTCCGTTGACGCCGCCTTTGCATTCGATTCACTGGCTTGCATCTGCAGTTTTTTCGCAGTCAGAGGTCCGTGCTGTGTTTGCCTGGTAGTGACATTAAGAGAGGCCGCAAGGTGTCACACCGATCCTCACGCCTTCCCAGCCGCTCCGCCCCAGCCCAAGGTCAAGCCCCATCGATTCAAGTTGTCTTTGCAATAAGCGCTTGCATGCAGCTTCGCAGCCGGAGTGATTTCAATTTCGCCAGAGTGAGTTGATCACATGGTATGTTTGGGCAGGCCATGGCAGGCCAAAAGCGGTCTTACACAGCTCGCATGCGAAAGGGTTAGGGGGTTAGGGAGAACTGGTTTGCACTCAAGTCATGAGCCCAGCTGGCCATCTCCGCTCGCCGAAGAGTTTGCGGATTCTGCGATGGTTCTCGGCAGGTGTGTTTCCCTCAGTTGAACGTAGTATTGGTGTGCTGCTACAAAACCCTGCTCACAGTGATGAGTTGGCCTTCAGCATTGCTCGGGCTCAGTCGTTCATGATACAAAGGCGCTTCTCGGCGGCCTGTCCCCGACATTCGCCGCGGTAAAGTCTGTCAAGAGTGCGCTTGCCGCTCGGTGGCATCTGATGCCCTGTGGTGTCCGAGCTGGACCTCGATCACTAGTTGCTCACGAGGTTGTTATGCCTCCTGTGCAAATGTGGGATCCGATTCAGCAGATACGCCGTGGCCGCGATAAAGGATTCTTCCGGTGGACTCTCGGTGGAAGATTCGATATCCGAAGCTCCAATTCAGATATTCAAAGATTTTTAAAGGTTTTCAACATCAGACCCCGCCAGGGTTGGTTCCAGCATCACGTGCCCTGCTGCCTGCCAGCGTTTCACTCTTGAATCTAGGTTTCCTGCACGTTCTGACCATTTCCGTCAGGCCTCAGATCAACTGGGATGGCAATTTGTTGTGCAGAGCAAGCGTGGGACTTGTAATGAGAGTAGCCTAGCCAAGAGGGGGAAGTCTTGCTGGACGGGCTGCGCCGTCCTAGCAGCACCTATGGAACATTGTCAAGTCGAGGATGCCACACATCAATATGCTCTACCCTTTTCTGGAGGACCTGCCATCTTGAGTTGGATTCGGAAAGTAGTTGCGTTCCCAAGTTCAGGCAGATCATGTTTGAATGAAGGCTGGTGAAGAGAGATGATCGTACGGACAAGTATGCACTAGGCCTAGCTGTGAGATCGGTGGAGCAACTCCTGGGGAGAGGACACTGGTGGCGACTTTGAGGCCGCTGCTGCTCGTGCGCGCGAGGCCCTGCAAGACGTGGAGCCGTTCACCCTGCAGCTGCCACTCCCCTCAATCAGTTGCCAGTACACGCGAGCATACGCGAGCATGAGCAGTGACTTGAAATATGCTACCAATCTCGCAGGCAACACTTCCATTTCTTCGAGCACAGCCGACGGAGCTGCACAGTGCTGTGGCTAAGCAAATGCTACTCAGTTCCACAGACGTTTCGCAAAACGTTGACCTGAAAACACTAACGCTTCGCGAGATTGGGTTGGTTGTACATTGTATAGGCCGTGAATTGAAGGCAGGCATAGGCCGTGCTGATGTCCGATAGTGCTAGCGTGGGGCAGAAGCCTCTCAGGTCTGGCTGAGGCCGCAGGAGGCCAGAGACAAGCTGTGCATGGGTGCTCTTTAAGCTTCTTGAAACACTTCACTTGTCTTCGCCGTGCCACGCTGCAGATGCCTTCTGTATCTCAGATGTCAGAAAATTGTGGTGTGGACCGTCTCCAAGACCGATGGAACAGCCACAGTCATCCCGGATCAAACATTTCCCTGTGCTCGTTTGTAATGCAATGTAGACTCAATTTTTAACTGCTTTGGCATCGCTTGGCAGGGTGATGATGCCACTGATGCAGATTCTCCAGCTCTTCATGCAGTCCACGAGAGGCAAACGGTTGTGTGTGATGGGTAGTGCCACGGAGCATAAATCTGAGCATTAGTGAAGCCAATGGTCATGACAGTTTGATCGATTGCTGCATCAGGCTGTTGGGAGCGTTTCCGTCTTGCACGGACTTATCAGATGACCCGCTACTTGGAAGTTCATAGCTCTGGGAGGTGCGAAGTTTTTCCATCTGCATTTTCGGCATGACCTGCTGTGTCGAAGAACGATGTACCCCCTCACACTGTGAAGGTCGCGGGACATCGACAAATTTGTTCCACACCTCTCTGTCGGCAGCTGGCGTGGGGCCACGGAGGTGGGAGTATTGCATTGTTCAGCTTTCACAACGACGTCTTTCGGCGCCGATGCTGACTCGCTTTGTGCTCGTGTTGCTTCAGGCTGCAGCCGCCGTGGAAGTCTTCCAGAACACCTGGTCCTCACTCTCCTTTCCTGTGCGCTTGGGTCGTTGGGGGGAGCTTGGGTTTACCGTGAGGCATCGTGAGGCATTCTTGCAAGCAGTTTTGCTACAGCTTGAGAAAGCGAGTTGGGTCACGTATTTTCCAGAAGCTAGGTTGACAGACAGTCAGGTCTCCTCCGTCTACTTCATCAGCCGGCGAAATTACAACGAACCATTCCAAGTCCGCTGGGCAGTTCCGCTGGGTCCGAGTCCAGCGGCTCCGAAGGAGCTGAACCTTCGGTACTTGGCCCGCCCAAACTGCCCGGGTGGCAAGGACATCTGGGAGTTTGGCAGGAAGAGGCCGGACGTCACATCCGTAAAGAAGTCTGTCAAGGTATATTCGCAGGTCGGCCTTGCCGTTGAGCTGTCTTGTTTGACCATGGGGCCATGTTCTTTCCAATTTTCGGAGCTTCGAAGCTTCCACCTGGCCCGCCTGCATGTTGTTCGAGCCTGCAGAGTGTATAACACTGTTTATTCGGATGCTCTTTGCAACAAGAGCTACTTGTGTTGATGCCGCTGGTAGTGCTGCCAAACCAACGACTGCCCGTCCCAGGGCGGCTGCCGGCTACATCCACAATGCGGCTGTGGAGAGCTGGGCCCTTCTCCCGTCCGGCCAGTGCCAGAGCAAACAAAACGGAAGTTGAAGGAAAGACAGATGCGCGTCTGCTGATCGACCTTGCTTCAGTCTGCTTGTTGCACTCCGTCTTTCCTGTGGAGTAGCGGGGCCTGAGTATTGAATGTGAAAGGACGACGACGATACTACGACGACTACTGCTACTGCTACTGTACCACTACTGTTTCTGCTGTTGCTGCTGCTACGACGATGACGACGACGTCGACTACTACGACGACGACGACTACTACTACTACTACTACTACTACTACCCCAACTAGTGCTACGACGGCGACGATTACTACTACTACTACTACGACGACGACGACCACCACCACCACCACCACCACCACGACCACGACCACCACCACCACGACCACCACCACCACCACCACCACCACCACCACAACCAGCACCACCACCACGACCACCACCACCACCAGCAACACGACGACGATGACGGAGATCACAGCAATGG